GGCGGGGACGAGCCGGTGCTCTTGCTGGGGCTCTGCAGCGAGTTTTGAGACGCCCTCGAGGACGTCCTCGAGAAGTGGCGGGAAGTGAGGGGCACCGAACGGTGAGCCGGCGACGTCAAAAAGTCCGAGCCAGGCGACGTAGACAACGAGGGACCTTCGGATTTTGAGCATTCCGACACCTGTCGACACACAACAAATACGCCTTTCCTTTATTAAAATTGACATTAGGCAAGACGCGAGACTCCTCTCGTGAAACGCGACTGCTTTCACTTTGAACCTATATTTCATATTCGACTCGCTCGCGAAGATTCGTTTTATCGAACTGGACGATCGCAACTTTGATACTTTCGAATTACCTCGACGACGGTGAAATCTACGTCTCCTCGGGGAAAACGCGTTCGACCAACACGTGGTGCGTTCGCGTCATTAGCACCTATCATTAGTCAGGATTCCGACTGGCGGACCGCTTCCTGACGCGTCGCAGACAAGGCCGTGCGATCGAAGTACGGCGGTTCGCGAACCACCACGTAATCGAAGCTGCGACCGCGCACGTGCACCGAGCGGAACCAATTCGTGGACACGGCGAATTTCTCGTCACGGATTCTCAGTTGCGCACGATTACGTAATCCACCGACCAATTCGTGGCCATACGCCACCCGGACGCAAATAGTAACCCGGACAAAAATTACCCCCGATTCGCTTTTCGTGGCAAACGATGGGCTTTGTCCGCGTTCCTGACTTCTGTGTCGCATCCAAATTTACTCGATCTACTTCGTGACTTTACCATTCTGACGGATCGTGTTTCAAATAATTTTCAAATTTCCCACTCCTTCGGTACTCGAGGTACATATGTGATCGTGTTAGGATCATGTAATCGATTTCATATTTTTTCCTAAATCTGTGCATCGCGATTCGATGACAATTCCACGACCGCATTGTTGATTTCGTTATCTGTGACACATCGTTGCGACCAGGAACGATAAGGCAAGAGATTATCGCGCGATACATTACGAAACTCAGAATCGAAGTTGCGCAATGTAAGAAGAGGTATGCCCGTGAGAGTGCCGCCGCGTGCTTTAACAAAACTGTGTCGGTAAAGAGAGGGAAGGAATTCGTTCGAAAGAAGCGTTCGTTAGCGAGGAGATAGTTTCGCTAAGTTATTCGCGAGCCTACGAGATTCAAATTCGTTCGACGCTTAAGCCTGAATACCGAACGCGATGGCGCTGCTCGTACGGGGTTTAAAACAGGCGCCAACCTTTCGAGAGGTCTAAGATTCCCGGAATGCCGAGCAATTACCGATCTGGTTAGTGCAGAAACGGGAGACGTATCCTTCTAAGGAACGAGGCGATCGCGGAAAGTCGAAACGAAAGGAACCGTGGACGATTTTGATTGTCCATTTTCCCGCGCTTTTCATTCGAAGTCCCGTCAAAAGAAAAACGCTTACCCACCTTCCTACTGCGACAGGCCTGAGGATTGGAGCATTCCGAAGATCGTCGACTACGGTTGGTCTTGTAAATGTCCCACTCGTTTTTCACAACAGGCATCATAAACGCCATCTCGATAGCAGCCGGCACTAGCGAGCGCGCACACTCTTTTTCTTTATTCCTCGCGAACGGGGCTCTCCTTGTCTCGCACTCTACACACTCGAGCGTCGTCTTTCTCGCTCCGTCTTTCTGGAAAGTTCAAACTGGACGGTTCCTCGGTGCGGCAGCGAACACGTTTACCCTTCCAACGGTCGATCTCGTCCGGCACTTTGCGCTCGTTCCGCGGATTCTTTTTGCTTGTCCGTTTCCGTCCCGTTTAACAGCGGAAACGCACGAGTGAATTTCCCGGTTTCGCACGCAAAACTGTTCGGTCGGCAATCGGATCGCGGATCTGACTCTCAACGCGATACGCTTTTCGGATCGGACCGGCGATCGGTTTGGTGCGTTGGCTCCGTTTCGATCGGGTTCTCCAAGAGATCGGACGATGACGTGTGCCACTGCTGGTCGTCCGGAACTGCGCTCTCCGTTGTATCGCTGCGACGACTGGAAAACTGCATACGCGTCGTGCGCTTTCACGGATAGCTCTCTCGTTTTACGATAGCTCGTGCTGCCTTTTCAACGATTGTTTTTGATGTGTCGCGCGGGATCGCGTGCGTCCGGTCGGTGCAGCAGTCTGCTACGGAATGAGCACGCCGACGGTCGTGTGGGTAGGTGTAAAAGTTGCCGCGAGTGGGGACGAGCTCGCGAGCCTATTGGCCGGTTCTGAGGCGGGACTCCTACGTCACGGGTTACCATTGATTTTCCAATGTTGATACACACAACGGCATGACGTTTCGGATTGATTTTCTGGCGGCGGTTCCTGCTGGATCGCACGTATCGTGGCCCCGTCAAACGTCAGCGCACAGGAATGCTTTCTTTCCCTAAAAGGGATCGCTTCCGATGTAACGAGCACCGATTTCCGCTCCTCTTCCCGGTGCGATCCTCGATCCTTTCCACTTTGCCGGCCCGAAAACCTACCGGGATCTACTCAAGGTCGTCGATGAGATTGCACACCGTGTCGAAACGCCGATAGGAAAAAGATGCACGCGCGATTCACGCTGATGCGACACCGAATTCCTTGCAGCGATATATTTAGAAATCGCCGGCGCTTGTGTACGAGGGCTATTGTTCCGCTCCGATGCACGGATTCAAGATCGCTAGGAATCCTGAGACGCAGTTTCGACGTTCATCGATGCGACTCGAACGGAATCGGTAATAACTGGTTATTGTTGCGTTTAATCAGCTGCCGTGACGCACTGACCTGATGGATTTTCGTGTCAAGAAAGCGAGGAAATTTCAAGAATTCCAGACTATTTTTGTATGCAGCGCGTTTGAAATAGTTAGAAAAATTTGCGGAAGGATTATTTCTAGCTGCTCTGTCGATAATTTGATATCGTTCGTTGGTAACTATAGGTTTTTATCGGCAATAGATAACTTACCGGTAGCTAGTAAGTTATCCATGGAGTTCTACTTTATCGACATACGGCAATTCCGTTCAGTTCGTTTGAAGTAGCAGCATCAGTGAAATAGAAGTAACTGTGTTTCCAATTATGGGTAAATGTTAGACAATAATAATTTTATCAGAAGTAACAATAATTTAAAGAAGAAATTGTTGCGAAACGTGAGCTTGAACATGTGGCGCCGTCTCACCAAAGTGAAAAGTTTGATTAGTTCTCATCTTCTATCGCTAGGTGCTAATTCCAAAACGCGGGTTAATATGAATTACAGAATGTATCAAACTAATACTTTCAAAGTATTTTTGTGTAAGAGTAGTAATTAAGTTGTAGGATTTTATAATCATGTGGATGTCTAAGGATGAAGAGAAGGTATATTATTTGAGGGAAGAATATTAGACACGTACAATTAATATCTCCATGTATTTTGTTATATATTTACAATTTGGTAACAGAAACGTTAAACGTAACAGGTAGCCTTGACCTCGGCCGGAAATTGTTTTCGAGATATCTTTCCGGTCGAGCGCGAGGCCAGCTAAAAGTCACATAAATATAATAATATTCGTCATAATAAATTCATTACAATCCATAATATGTATCTTTAATATATGTTATTTAAATTTTCTTAAACACTTGTTTAATCGGTTCAATGTTTCCTTTAGCGTTGCTCTTTTACTCTTTTCATTTTCTTTCACCGACAATGGCTTGTTCTTAATTACGTCTACTGTTACTCGCTTTTCGTTTAGTTTTTAGTATATTCGGATTGTCCGTACTTAATGATATTTTATTACGTAACTCTTTCACGAAGTTCCATTATTTTTCCCAAGTGATCATAGAAAAAAAAAGGAAAAATAATCGTTTGATTCTGCGCTACTATATTCCGTGTGATCTTTTGTTCCATTCACGATAATATTGAAAATGTTCGGCTGATTTCGGTCTTGAAAACAGCTTGGCGAACATCGAGTTCTTTAATTTCTGTTTTATTATTTTAATCGCTTAATGTATGTACAAAAACTTTGATTTCTTTTATATTAACACGCGCTCTTTTTCCCCGTTTAAGCTCGGTCCTCACGACAGAGTTTCTATTAAAAACCTTCAAATCAATTAAAAACATCTGTTCACACGTTCACCATGAACGCAGTATGGCGGTTTGGTGTCTCGAACTTTTACTTTGATTTATATTTCACGTACACCGTAATTTTGTAATAAAAATTGTGGATACACGTTTAATTTAATTCGACGGTTCTGTTTAGAAAATTTTGATTATTCGACAACAGCGACAGTGATTCATTCCTTGAAGCCTGTTTCCATTAATACAGCGACGTGTCTCATATTTATTTAAAAAGTATGCGAAGAATTTTGGCAGAATTGTTACATAATTATTGTTTTCGAAGGCTGCTTCAAAGAATAAAATCACATTGAAAGACAGTCTTTATGATCCAAACCGACCAGGGAAATTATTACGATCTTATCCTGCGTGAATTTCCGAGTCCTGTGGCAGTGCGTTACGCATAATAACAGATTTACGTTAGTCTTTATGTTACACCTATATGTATACGTATATCTTTACAAAAAAATCACGTACACCTTGAATTTCATGCGAATCATTTTTTCCTTTTCGTGTGCGAAGGTTTTATGAGCTTTCGACGATTTTCTGAAAGGATGGTTATTTCTATAACTAACTGCGATTTACAATTAAGTGCAATTTAGTCCTTTCCCGTTCAATGTTGTGATGATATTCGTGATATTGTGACGTGTCAGATTACAACGCACAGAATCGTGGCATATTGAATTACAATACGTGTTGATATAACGCTTTAACTTACAATGTATCGAATTACAAGGTGTTGAATTTCAACGCGTGGTAATATGACACGTGAGGCCACCACGTATCGAGTTACAACGCTTCGAATCGCAACGTATCGAATTACTACGCTTTAGCGTACAGTGTATCGAATTACAAGGTGTCGAATTTCAACGCGTGGTAATATGACACGTGAGACCACCATGTATCGAGTTACAACGCTTCGAATCGCAACGTATCGAATTACAAGGTGTCGAATTTCAACGCGTGGTAATATGACACGTGAAACCACCACGTATCGAGTTACAACGCTTCGAATCGCAATGTATCGAATTACTACGCTTCAGCGTACAGTGTATCGAATTTCAACGCGTGGTAATATGACACATGAAACCACCACGTATCGAGTTACAACGCTTTCACACAACGCATTACGAATACTCATGGCAATATAACTCGATTTCTCTTTCTACATTTACTTGTACGACCAGAAGAAGCCTACATTGCACTCAAGTGTACACGCAATTTCTCGGTTTGTCAATTCACAGTCACAGTTCAACCACGATTCGTTTCAAACAATGCAAGATTCTACCTGAAAAGATACTACCCAAGGAAAAAAGGCGGATTAATGTAAAATTTGGAGTAACGTTCCTCGATTGTCTTTCATATTTATACAAGGATTCTCAAAGAAAGATCTGTTTCGATTGAAATGATTGAACTGTCAATGTGAATTGAGCTTGATGTGGGGCATTCTACATGATTCTGCTCGCATTTCTTTTTTGTGTACGTGGTAGAGTGAAAGGAAATCTTTTCGGTAGATTTCTCAGTGTTACCAAAAACGTAGAAAAAATGGCGATCACCATGTACCGTTACATAGACGCGGTTATCGTCGAAAGGGAACGTTCCTCGATTATTGTTTATGAATTTAGAATGAGTGGCAGTATGCATCGGGAAATGATTTTGGCCATCGATGATCGAAACTTTTGATTCGTAGAAGAACATTTAAGTTCCCAACTTAAAAATATCAATTTATATCAACTACAATTTCAACTGCCAATTTTGTAAGATTAATTTTTTACTTGCAAGATTTATTTTATGTCAGAGTCAAAATAATTTAATAGTGTTAAAGACAAATTCTGAGGATCAATTTTGTCATTTGCAAAAATGTAATTATGGACGGTCCTTTGTGTAGGAGGCGATCTACCGATTCCCGGCTCGATTTAATGAAGGAACTAAAACATTGCCGATCGAACAAAGCTACAAATGAATTCTTCGACCAATCAAAAGTAGTGGATCAAATTGTCGAGTAATGATTCGAATGGTTCTCTCACACTTACATCATGTAACGTTCACAGTCAGATGAAAGAAGAAAGGAATAAAAATAAGAGGAAATCAGAGTGGACGATCAAACGATACGACACGAGTTACACGTCTCCTTAGAAAGTAGCAAACGTTCTTTTTTGGCTTTCTTACGGTATAAATTCACTTTTTTATTCTTTTATTTACAAGGAACATCTAACATCGTAGTGGATAAGTCGTTTTTTATACACGGGTCTTCATGATCGATTCAATGACTGTTGAGCTTCTCCCTTTAACACCTACGAATTCATTATTATCGACTAGCTAGCTGACTGTACGTTTGATTTCCACCATAAAATGGTATTCGCTTTTTTTGATTGAAGTTCGATTAATCGTGGAAAGAACCGCCCTTTGGCGTCTGCGTTTCGATACATCGTCGATATTCGTGATCGATCATCCCCGAACACGATACACTTCTGGTATCCATCGAAGCAACGTTCTTCAACATATCTGCATCAGTCTTCAACATCAAATCTTCATCAAATCGAATCTCTTTTCTCCTTAAGATTCAATTTTGGTTACATCAAAGATCCTTTTACATCGGTCAAGGTTATCAAGCTTCCAATTCGAAAGAGGAACCCAGACAACACACGGTTGTGATTTCTTCTTTGCTTCCCAAGATATCCGAATCGAAGTCGAACCAGAATTTCCTCTTTGAGATCCTCTTCAATCTCCTCGAGTTCCTTCGATGGATACCCGGTACTCCATTCTTCTAGTACTCGATTCTCTTCAGTAGCGAGCGTAGAGCTCCGTTCACCCCCCTCCGTTGATTATCCGCTCGTCGTCACCTGGACGAGTTGAAAGTCGTGGTATCAACGCGTTGTCGGACCAGGTGCCGGTCGATCGTTCGTCGAAAAACTTCCAAGGATCACACCGCTGGAAGCTCGACGGACCGGAACACGGTTTTACAGTAAGGTCGATGCCGTCAAGACATCCGGGACGACCGGTTTCGGAGGGGGGTCCAAGCATCACACTCTCATCTCGCTCATGGTGGCGTGGGACACGCGACTCGACACGGTGGCACTTTGCAACAGGGGCTGGTTCTCGGGCGGGCTCTTTGCTCGTGGGGGCGGTGGGGCTCTTGGTACTGTCAGATGTATTGACCCGTTTGGTGGACCCTGCAAATTTTTAGCGTTCAGTAAACCCTTAGTAATACCAGATTTACCCTGTCAGACCCTTGTTTGGATACAAATTACTCTTTGGGCAGAATGTATCATTATTAACTATTGGGTACGATCAAGGTACGACTTCTTCGGTACAAAGCTCAACAGCTACTTATCACTATTTGTGTTTCTATAATTCTGTGAAAGATTAGGTCTGAGAAGGTTAATCCCTGTTAGGTTATATTCATATAACATATGAGTTATGTTACATACTGAGTTATTGTTTGAATATGTTTATGGTTTATAGTTTACAGTTTACATGATAGTGTTAGCCATTTTATAGGACCATTATCAACAGCTATGCAGCATTTCAAGAACTGATCACAAGTTGAATCGTTGAGTGACTTCGCAAACTATCGACCACAAGTTTCTTTAATGTCCGGGTGGAGTCAACAAGTTTTTTTGATATCGAGTGATTTTTCTTCGGTTCAAACTTCATCAGACTGATTAAGTTTCTGAACGTTAATCTGTTTCAAACGTCTCTCGACACATTTCGAAATTTTATCTCAAATTGTAAAGTAATCGTCGAACCTTTTTGCGAGGATAAAAAATTGAAGGTAAATAACTTGCATGGAAAAATGGTGAATGAAAACGATTACAGAAATGAAAGACAATCTGAAAATGGTAACTGTCCGTTTACTCATTTTATCTGAAAGTCTGTATGGAGTTATTCAAATAAGAGATGTCTTGAGGAAATTGAAATCTCTGTCAGAAATGAAAGTCAAAATCCAGCAGGGAAAGTTTAATCCGTTAAAGTTTCCCTTTAATGAACTTCAGGTTCGTCTCGAATCCAGGTCCGCGGGAATTTACTAACGAGATAAAAGGCGATACTGTCCGTAGGTAGAATAATGACCGGACGAAAATGTCAGAAGCTTCAGCAGTGTAAATTTTAACCGTGCGGTTTAGCAGTTTAAAAGTTTCTTTTTAATAGGATTATGGGCGAAAGTTCCACAGGCATCGCGAGTTAAACAGCAACTTTTCTTTTATATGAATAGCGACAAACGTGCAATTTTCGAAACGTTTCATAAAAGTACCTCCATTCATATTACGTCAAACGTTAAACGACATTTTGTTTCACTTTATTCACTGTCAAATTAAGGTCGTTAATTGTCTCGAGTTAAATAAGGTTCTCAAGTTACACAAGTCATCGAGTTTCCTAAATTATAGTTTGTTATGAAATAATTCTGACAGGGAACAGGCAGATGGATAAAGTCTGAGAGGCACAAACAGGCAGGAGAGTGCAGGGTAAACCTTCCATTATGTTAAAAACTAAAAGTTGCTCAGTTAAAATAAGGTTCTCACTTGGGTTTGTGCGTTCATGTCCTGTATGACGGAAGCTCGGGGAAGAGTGGCATGCTGTTGTTGATGTTGCTTTTGATAATGATGTTGATGGGGCAACGTATGAGTTCCCTGGCCCTGTTGGAGAAGCGTGTTGGGATCGTTCGGAGGACCTTTCATAACGTTCCTGAAAGGATGATCGATCGTTACAACCCTTCGATCTAACTTTTCGTTGACCACATTCGATCTCAAGAAATTTGATTAAAGAGTTACAAAGGCGAGAGATGAAAAGGGGACGCGAAATGATAAATGAAATACCTTCTCAACATCTCGTTTTCAACGTCCACGATAATCTGGCCGCTTCCAGGGAAGTGCGAGTGAGGGGGCGGTGGTTGTTTCAGCTCGGTGAATCCTCGTGGACCGCACTGTTGATTCAACATTTGTTGCTGCTGAAGGCTCTTCACCTCGTGTCTCGTTTTGTCCCTCTGATAGTAGACGCCAGCAAAAATGAGGACGTTGAGGATCAACAAGCTGCAGCCAATCGCGATTGTGACGCTCAGAGCTGTCGAGTACGCGTTGTATCTGCTCGAAAATGTCGATAAAATGTACAGGATTAGACGTATCTTCTTGGAAACTCCGAAGAAAGGAGAAAGAATTGCCACTGAATTTTCGCGACGAAACTTTTCCTTCAAAACTTTTGCAGACTCGATAATTAAAGAATTTCGTGACTCAGTTTCGGCACTTAGAAACAAAAGTAGATGAAATTCAGTCAGAAATTGTAGCGAGGGATGCACAATATCTCTGTCCCTAACAAAATTAGTTACGTCGCGAATATACGAACGTTCCCACGAACTCGGAGACCGCCAGGAAGTGTCTTATTAATTGTACACGTACTATCAACTGAGATTGCTTATTACGTACCCAGCTGCATCCAGGCTGGCCAAAGTGTCCGTGCTGGCGTTATGAACGGTCTGAAGGTTCGTACTTTGGATGTAGCTGACACACGTGGCCGCGTTGTAGTCGGTCGTAGTCGGTGGTTCCGTGGTGATGTTCTTCCTTTTGAATTCCTCGCTGATCCTGCTCAACGGATCGGGTCTCACGGATCCGTCGTAAAGGCTGGGATCCGAGTGGCCTCGGAACAGATTGTGTCTGGAGTCCACGTCCTCCATTCCTGCTCGATGGAGCTCGGGCACCAAACGCAGCCACACCGACAGCTGATGAGCTCGATAATGGTTCTTCATCTTTGGTCTCCAGCCTGCGAAATTTCAATCGCTCGATTTTATTGCAGATACTTTAAAATTTATAATATCTAAAATTTATAAAATCTGTAAATTTTCAATAAAACATCAAGTATTTTCTTTAAATTAATTTTATCATAAGCTACTTATCAACAACGACAAAATTTGTACAATAAACCTCGTTAAAAAGAAACGCAAACATAACGATACTTCATAAAGAACGTGTTTCATTAAAAAGGTTTTAGAATCATTCGCGAAAAATTTCCGCTGCTTAAAATTCTCGACGTGTAATGAAGGATTTACGACGTTGTTACGACAAAAATTATCCGCGTTCCCCGCAAAGCAGTCTGATAAGAACAGAAACGCTTGAGAGAAGCAAAAAAAAGATTTTTCGTTCCGACACTGAATGGAACGTAACCGCGCCAAGTTCCGTTGAAATTTCATTGGGATAAAAGGGTATTTCGACCGACTATGTCAGACGGGTCTTTTTTCCGAGCACAAATAAAGTGTATCGCTCGCTTAAAATCCTATTTCGCTTTAGATCCTGTCTTAGAAATGATCCAATTTCTTTTATGTAGCGCTCTGATACACCGACGGAAAATTAGTGGAGGAGGAAAATTGGAAAGAATCTTCCCAAAGAATTTTTGGGAAAATTATGAAGCTGAGAAGTTAGGAAGTTCGAAGATGGAGACGTTCAAAGTTTGAAAGTTGACTTTGGGAGATTGACAATTATTTAGCATTTAGCATTTTGGAGGATTGGAAGATTGGAATCTTCAAATATTAGGACTCTAGAAAATTGGAACCTTACAAAATTAGGTCATAAAAAATTAGAACCTAGAAATATTTAAAACCATGGAATTGGTATCTTTAAAAAATAAAACCTGGAAGATGAGTTTTCGAATAATCAGGGATTAAATGATTCCGTTATAATTTAATGAAAATATTCATACGAAGCCGAGGTATCCAAGGCAAGAATTGGCGACACAATAATGTGGTGAAATTAGCTGGAAATTTGGAAAATCGCGCATGAGACTCGACGAAATTGCTACCGGCGTAACATTAATTAGATGCAATTTTTGGCGGCAAACGGTGAGAGCCAATGCACGAGCAGTTAATTAAAGCGAGCCACGGCTGACGGATTTGTCATGGCTGCAAATGAGAAAACGCGTGTACCGGCACGCGTGCACGAAACTGGAACAATGAAATTAATGAAAATAATTGTTCCGTGCTAAATTCGGGATAGCTCGAGCTGCTGAACGCCAGTGTCGTCGTTCCCTGTTCAACTGCTAAGGATTAATGGCGTGGCTAACCACGTTAAAGGCAAGCATTTTGCACTCTAATGCGTTTCATTTTAACGAATTTTCCCAGGGAAACACGGTGAAAGAAAAATAAATGCTTTCTATGGTGTAAACTTCAAATTTCATTAGCAGCCTTGGGAGTTATATCTTTTGTAAGATGCAGGGGGTTGTGATTGAGGGAGAGGGAAGTTTGGGAAGGTTGGGAGGATTGAGACGATTGAAGGGTGGAAGGTGTAAAATTTAGGAGGTTAGAACTTTGAAGGGAACTTTGCAAGATTTGAACTTTGGGAGGGTGGGACTGTCAAGAGGTGCAACTTTGGAAGAAAGAAATTTGGGAAGGGTAAAGAACATTGAAGAGTTGGAATTTTGCAAGAGTGAAACTTTAGAAATGTGGAACTTTGAAAGGGTGGGACTATGGAAAAGTCACAATTTGGGACAGTCGAACTTTGCAAGATTTGAACATTGGAAAGGTAGGACTATGACAAGTTGCAACTTTGGAAGGGTAAAGAACACTGAGGAGTTGTAACTTTAAAAGAGTGTAACTTTGGAAGGGTGAAACTGCAGAAGGGTGGCAATTGGCTACAGAGGAACTTTACAAGATTTGAACTTTCGAAGGGTGGAACTATCAGAAGTTGCAACTTTGGAAGGGTAAAAAATATTGAAGAGTAAGAACTTTAGAAGTGTGCAATTTTGAAGGGGTAGGACTATGAAAGAGTCACAATTTGGGGTAGTGGAACTTTGCAAGATTTGAACATTGGAAAGGTAGAATTATGACAAGTTGCAACTCTGGAAGGGTAAAGAACACTGAGGAGTTGTAACTTTGGAAGAGTGCAGCTTTGAAAGGGTGGGATTATGGAAGGGTGGCAATTTGAGACACTGGAACTTTGCAAGACCTGAACATTGGAAAGGTAAAACTGTGCCAAGTTGCTACTTTGGAAGGGTGGAATTAGGGAAGGGTAAAGAACACTGAGGAGTTGGAACTACAGAAGAGTGCAACTTTGGAAGGGTGGAACTACAGAAGGGTGGCAATTGGGGAGAGAAGGAATTTTGCAAGATTTGAACTTTGGAAGGGTGGAACTATGACAAGTTGGAACTTTGGAAGGGTGGGGCTATGAAAGGGTGGTAATTTGGGAGAGTGGAAATTCGGAAGGGTGGAATTTTGCAAGAATGGAACTTGGAAGAGTGGAACTTTGGAGGGGTAGAACATTGAAGAGTTGGAACTTTGGAAGGGTGGGTCTATGAAAGGGTGGTAATTTGGGAGAGTGGAAATTTGGAAGGGTGGAATTTTGCAAGAGTGGAACTTGGAAGAGTGGAACTTTGGAGGGGTACAACATTGAAGAGTTGGAACTTTGGAAGGGTGGAACATTGATGACTTGGAACTTTGGAAGGGTGGAACATTGAAGACTTGGAACTTTGAAAGAGTGAAACTTTAGAAGTGTGGAGCTTTGGGAGGGTGGAAATTTGGAAGAGTGGAACTTTGCAAGGGTGGAATTTTGGGAGGGTGGAAATTTAGAAGAGTGGAACTTTGAAAAATTGCAACTATGGAAGGGTGGAATTTTGAGAGGGTGGAAATTTGGGAGAGTAGAACCTTGAAAGAGTGGAAATTAAAAAAATTGGAACCTCGAAAGAGTGTAAATTAGAAAAGTTGAAACCTCGAAAGAGTGCAAATAAAAGAAGTTCAAACCTTGAAAATTTATAACCACAGAAGGGTGGACCCTCGAAACCTTAAAATTTTGTACAAGTAAAATATTGGAAGGGTAGAACCCCAAAAGGGTGGAGCCCTCCAATATTCAAACTCCATAAAATAAAAATTTTAGAACCTTCAACCTCCCAAAAAATGAAACCCTCCTAAACCCCACAACTCCAGAAAATAAAATGACGCCAGTCGAAATAAATTTTACATCGTATCCTTGATGTTAGAGAGCGTCCAAACTAGGTTAAAAAAGGAATATCATCGTTAGGTGAGTTTTTCCGTGTGACACGACACCGGACTACGTGCGAACGACTCGGATCGCGTTTTCCGACAGGAATTCCCGTGTATCGAGGCTCGTGAATCATTTCGAAGCACCGTCACTGACATTTGATTTGCTGAAGTGCGCTCGTACGGATCAAAGCAGAGAGGAGAGTTTCACGACTGGATATGCACGAATCTTTCAATTTGATTAGTTAGATCAGTTCCTTTTCATTTTGTACGTCTTGGAGTTTCCCGAATTTTTCCATGGACTTCATAGATGAGATTGGGTCTCTTCCAATTTATCAGCTTCGATTAAATCGATTTATTTTATTACCGAAGCAAGATTGAACCAATCAATATTTAACCAGTAATGTACGAATAACATATTCCAGTTTTCTGTACGAGCTAATTGAACATGAAAATGAATAATTAAATTTAATTAAGCGCATAATCCGGCACAAGATTTATCGTTAAAGAATTTTCAGCCGCTTTTAAATACAATTACTGGACAAGCGAATTAACCTCGATACAGGATCATTATAATTTTCATTTTATACCAAATCGAATGAATTTTCGTTCGATCGTTATGCAATGTAACACGCAAGAGTAACTCGGAATCTTGTAAATCAGTCCACTTATCAAGCATCAAGTATCGTTAATTTACAGTATCAGATACAACTCGAAACTGTTAAATCGTATTTCGCGTTTCATTATTTGGAACACGGGGGGTTTTCGCTGAAACTACATTGCCAATTTATAATATCGATTTTATGTTGCTGCAAAGAATTACTGTTATTAATTCGTCTAATTTATGAACGCGGCCGCGAGCCAAACAGCCCGTGCAAGCCGGAAATCGAAGTGAAAAATGATATTGCGGTGCGGTACCAAGCTTGATTTCTTCGCAAACATTAACACCTATAATGTTCATGCAAAATTGGAAATTTGCGAAGGTGCAAAAATTGAGGGGGTGGGACTCTGCAAGATTTGGGGGTTGGTAGGTGGACTTGGCAAGATTTGGGGGTTGGGAGATGGACTTTGCAAGATTTGGGGGTTGCAAGGTTTGAACTCTGAGGGATGGAAATTTGGGAGAGATTGAGACTTTGGAAGGGTGGAATTTTGGAAGGGTGGGGCTTTGCAAGATTTGGGGGTTGCAAGGTTTGAACTCTGAGGGGTGGAAATTTGGGAGAGATTGGGACTTTGGAGGGTGGAACTTTGGAAGGGTGGAATTTTGCAAGGGTGGAACTTTGGAAGAGTGGGACTTTGGGAGATTGGGACTTTGGGAGATTGGGACTTTGAGAGATTGGGACTTTGGGAGATTGGGACTTTGAGAGATTGGGACTTCGAAGGGTGGAACGTTGGAAGGGTGAAATCTTGGAAGAGTGGAATTTTGGAAGGGTGGAATTTTGCAAGGGTGGAACTTTGGAAGAGTGGAATTTTGAAAAGTTAGAAATTTGGAAGGGTGGAATCTTGGAAGGTGGAACTTTGGAAGGGTGGAATTTTTCAAGGGTGGAACTTAGGAAGAGTGGGACTCTGAAAAGTTGGAAATTTGGAAGAGTGGAACTTTGGAAGGGTGGAACCTTGAAAGAGTGGAAGTTTGAAAGAGTCGACCCTTGGAAGGGCAGAACTTATTAAGAGTTGAACTTTGGAAGGGTTGAACTTTGAAAGAGTAGAACTTTGCAAGAGTTGGAACTCCACAAATCCCTAATTTAAAAATTCCGAAAATTCCAAATAGAAACCACTGACCACCCTAAACCCATAACACCCC